GGCAGTATTCAACTTCATCTGGTACTTGCGGAGGATCTCGAAAGTCTCGGTCAGGTCGGCTAGGTTGAACCTGACTGCTTGCTCTTGACAAGCATATCGTCCACATAGACCTCCATATTGCGTCCGATCTGGTTGGCGAATATCTTGTTCGCCATCCTTTGATAAGTTGCCTCTGCATTCTTTAGACTGAAAGGTATGACCTTATAGCAGTATAGACCTTGATTGAAGGAAGTGTGGACTTAGTCTGATTCATGCATTTTTATTTGGTTGTATCCAGATTCCAGAGTAGGCATCTGAAGGTGAGCAGCTCGTGCCCAGTCGTAGCGTCCACAAGTTGGTCGATCCTTGGTAGTAGAAAACAATCTTTTGGGCAGGCCTTATTAAGATTGGTGAATTCTACACACATTCTCCACTTTCCGTTAGATTTTTGACTAACACAACGTTAGAGAACGACTCAGGATACAGAATTTCTTTTATGTATTTGGCCTTAAACAATTTGTTCACTTCCTCAACTATTACATCACTCATCTCCTTATTTACAGGTCTTCTTTTCTGCTTGACAGATCAGAATGACGGGTCGATGTTGAGGCGATGAACCATTATCTTCGGATCAATGCCTGGCATGTCTTCGTGAGACCATGCGAACATATTCGAGTTCGCCCTTAGGAAGGAGATGAGCTCTTCCCTATCTGCGGCTTCCAACTTGGTGTCTATGCTCACTTGCTTCTCCAGGGTGAGCAAGAGGACAAGCTCCAACTCATCAGTGGGCGTATCTACTTCTCGTCGCCTTCAGGCAGCTCGTCCTCGGAAGGTAAAGTAGCTGGGCCTGGCATAATTGATTGCTCTTCTATGGTACAGACTGTCGACCCCTTGAGTGTAGAAGTATAGCACCCTCGGGATGTTTTCTGCTCTCCTCGGATCATGCCAACTCCGTTGATTGTAGAGTACTTCATGACTTGGTGTAGAGTTGACGGAATGGCCCGAAGTGAGTGGATAATAGATCATCCGAAGATGGCATTGTAGGCCGACCTGCCATCTATCACCACAAACTTGGCCATCTGAGTGACTTGGGTGTCACCTTGGCCGATGGTGATGGGAAGATCAATGCAACCCTCGGGAGTGACAAATTCTCCCGCAAATCCAACTAAGGGGGTTGGATTCTTCTTCAACTATGCCCTGGTCCATCCCAGCGCTAAGTAAGTGGTGAGATATAGGATGTTGATAGAAGCACCCACATCCACCACCACCCTTCTGTCTTGAACATGGTCAATCAGCAGCGAGATCACCAAGGCATCATTGTGGGACAAGTGTACCCCCTCCAGATCAGAATCGGAGAAGGAGATGGGGCAGGTCAGCTTATGCTCCTGAATGGTACAGACTTCACGCCGAGCTTCCCTGGCTAGCTCCTTCCTCTTGTTTCCGGATTAGCCCCCGCTAGAGCCGCCAAAG